AAATATACGGAAAGAAAATAAAAATAAATTTATACCCGGGGTAGCCTATTATCCTATAATGAGCCGATCGTCATCACGAGCCCGCTCAGACAGGGTAATGAAGCTATTTTTGATTTCTGCAAGTTGCAATTTGCACAAAAAAAAATGAAGAATATAAATGGAAAAATAAAACTAACGCGGATAGCACCTAATCCAAGAATGAACTGATCGTCATCACGAGCCCGTTCAGACAGGGACAGGATACTATTTAAGATTATTGAAATTTGCGGTTTTACAGATTAACTAAATAAAAAAATAACGCGGACAGCACCTACTCCAAGAGTGAACTGATCGTCATCACGAGCCCGTTCAGACAAGGACAGGATGCTATTTAAGTTTATTCAAATATACGGTAAAAGAATAAACAAACTATTAAAAGAGGGAAAACGTCTCCTCAAACACTCCGTTTACAAATATTCCCAACTTAATAACAACGCGGCACTTACTAAACAAAAGTATTTATGAATAAAATCTAATTTAATTCCCGATTTAACCTACCAAAAAGAAAAAATAATAATTTCCTAATACAGACTAACGATCAAAAGTCTAAATCTCGGTTTTACAATATTACAGGAATAAATCCTATCATTTATTATTTACATCAAATTCTATTCCTTTAAACGAAAGGGTATTATATTTGCCAAGAAATAAATTCAAATATTTATTAATGAAATCAAATTAAAGTCTTTTAACTCAACACTATCTATAAAAAAAAGAAACGGTATTATTTGTCAATTAAAAATTTTTATTATTTATTAATGAAATCAAATTTAAAATCTTTTAACTCAACACTATCTATAAAAAAAGAAACGGTATTATTTGTCAAGAAACAAATTCTATTATTTATTAATAAAATCAAATTTAAAATCTTTTAACTCAACACTATCTATAAAAAACGGTATTATTTGCCAAGAAACAAATTCTATTATTTATTAATGAAATCAAATTAAATCTTTTAACTAAACACTGAATGAAAATATTCCTATTCCTAGAAGCTAATTCGGTTTCTAAAATGAAATACGGTCTCAATATAAAACGTAAAAAGCGGAACAAGGTTCTTTTACCTAAGGGATTTGTAAATACGATAAAAAAAAATTATCGGCGGTGATTGGATTTGTGCTGCGACTTATTAGTCTCGACTGGTGGCAATCAAAAATTTTATCGAACTCATAATTTTAATAGCATGTCGGGTCTCGTTCAACTACTGAATCCCTTTCCCCATCAGAAACCCCACCTACGTTCAGACCCACCGCGCACGATACTCGATCGGCGTTCGCGCATGTAAATCAACTTAGAACCAATAGTTCAATCGTGTTTAACATTTATTAAAAATTAAAAATGAAAATAAACTGATTGAGGAAAAATTGACTTCATTACAAAACGAACATTTAGGTTTCCACAAGGCGTTATGGTTTGAGGATGTATGTCAGCTAAAGAATTAGGCACTTTAAAATGTATTAAAGGGACTGTGAATGCAGAGAAATACAAAAATATTCTTGAAAACTCCTTATTACATAGTGCTGCAAAATTATATCCGAATGGAGATTATATATTCCAACAGGACGGTGCATCATGTTACACCGCAAAAACAACAAAGAAATGCTTTGGAGACAATGATGTTAAAGTTTTATCACATCCCTCAAGCAGTCCGGATCTCAATTCGATAGTAATACTTTGACAAAAAATGAAACAAAATTTAGGAAACAACAATTGCGTGCCAATTTGCAAGAAATTTGGGACAGTTTTACACCAGAATTTTGCAAAGGTCTTGTCGATACTATGCCTAATAGACTTCAAGCAGTTATTCGGGTAAAAGGGGATGTTACGTCTTAACTTTTTTTTTAATTTGTGTTCCAACATTTAGTTGTCAATCTTTTCGAATATCAAATATTTAAATTAATTGCAATAAATTAAAAAAAAAAAAGATAAATTTGTTCTTTCTAGTATGTCAGAAGGCACTGAAAATATTACTAATTGTTTATAATACCAATAAAATTTAATTCCAGTTTAAGATCAGTGCAAGTTGGTTTTATGTTATTTTTATTGATTTGTCAAATTTTTACTTAACGATACAGGATTAATTGAGATAAAATATAGTATAATTGCAAAAGATCTTATTTTAATGAATGTCTTAGATACAGTCTTGCCAAAGGTTTTCCTAAATAGTCGTTCAACAGTTTCTTTACTCTTTCCAAAATTTTCCAAGAGAACATTTTCTTCTTTCTCTATGATTAATTTTTTTCTTGAGTTCCAGCATTATTCTCTTTAAAGATTTGATGACTTTCCGTTATCTCCGTATGATTTGCAGTTGTTTACTTAATTTAATATTTTCGACTTGATTATGTGCTTCCAAGTTTTGAATTTGTCTTTTGAGCTTCTTTTTAAGAAGGAAATCAAGAGGGTTCTCTTCTATCTCTATATATATACAACTTTGTTGACAAACAAAAGGTCCAGTAAGAGCTGAAGAGGCTTCATCACAGGCAGTTGTTACCTCTTTTATCGAAGAGTGTAGTTTCTTACCTGAAAAATACAAAACAATCTATTTTACATTTTACATTATTGGACAGGTGTAAAAAACTTTTTTTGGTCTAAAATAAGTTCTTTATAAAATAAGTAATTGCTTGGTGGCCCTGTAATATTTTTCAAAAATATTTTAGCGTTAAATACAATTATACTAAATCATTCTAAAACTGTAATAAAATACAGGGCCTCTCATTTAAAAAATATACATGGTTATTTGTCAGCAAAAGCGTAACACCCTGTATATAAAAAAATATTTTTAAAATATGCCTTTCTAAAATCTATACAACTCTTATTTGAAACTTGTTTGTGCGTCTATAACAGAAATTGATTCATCGAACAATTACGCACTAATGGGACATCCTGTATATACTTATCTTTATTTTATGTTCTTTTCAGTTTTTCCAAAACATCTATTTGTTAAAAACCATCTTGTTTAATACGAGAGTACATAAAATAATATTTTTATTATCTTTAAGAACAATTATTTCTGTACTGTACGATTAATATAACAATAATTTAAATAATACTTCAGATTTAAACTTAATATAATGTAGTCCACGCGGCTAAATTCGTGTTAGATAACACATACAATTATTACCATAAAATAAAAATAAGAAAAAAATTAAATCTTTAATTCTTTATTATGTATTTAATTATAAAATTAATATGCAACAAATGGGTTCTTTCTATAATTTTTGTAAATGTTTATCCATTTCTTATAAGAACACTTTCTTGGATTTTTTTAATAATAATATTATTCCTTTTTAACTATTGGCCAAATTTGATTTTGAAATAATTTATCTTTAACAGGTGTAGGATTTCTAAAAACAATATAAAGAAAATATTATGTTACTAAAAACTACATTAATTTTCGTTTATTTTTAATTGTAAAACTGCAAAAATATGAGTCCCCTAAATGCAAAACTCGGTATTTGCTAGATACAAAATTTGTCAGGAAGGGCAAAAAACTGTTAGTAAATAAAATACATTATGTATTCGGTTTAAATTTTGTTTTTAGTTGGCTCTGGTGATTATGTTTTGAAATAACTATGCTCTTTAATCTGAAATCCTACCAAAAATTAAAAAAAAAAATACTTTTAAAATTAATATACCGAGTTTTGCATTTATGTTTTGCAACTCACAATTGCAAATACCAATAAGTGCATGGTTGTCTTATTTTAGAAAATGTATTTTATTATATATTTTTTTAATTAAAGATACAAAAATTTAAATTAAAACATTTTTATTAGGTGTAAACTGCAAAAACTCGCAAAAACAAACGAAATTACTTCTGGCCTCTTCAGAATCCAAACAACAAATGAATAAGTTAAAATATCTACGTGCCCATGCACTTACTTAATCACGTGACTATTAGACGTAACGCCATTGGAAGCAGGTTACAATTACGTAGTTTTGCATTTGACAAGTGAAGAGAAATACAGAGTTCTGCATCTAGTCTTCGTTTTCTAAAGCGTTCTTAATGCAGAAAGAGGGAGTTTTGCTTCTTATTTTAGGAGAAGAATGGTAGAGTTTGAAATAAGGAATTGAATGGCGCTAAAACTCTTGAAAATTTCGTCAAATACCGAGTTTTGCATTTAGGGGACTCATATAACAACTTACAATAATAATAAATTTAAAATACTTACAAATATTTAATAAAATTGTTTAAGAGTTTGTTGTATTTTCGTCATTACATCAGATTTTGGATATTTGAAAAAAGACCAAAAGTATCTTTGATCTCCCAAATGGGCTACTTTACCAATATCTAATATATACCAATTAAATTATATACGATGAGCTACTCCCTAGGCCTTTAACTTGATTCTTACAATAATTTTATTTTAATTCTTTTATTAGTACTTATATGCTGCCGTGTGAGAAAAATCGATTTTTCAAGAAAAATCACTGACGCCTAAATTTCTAAGCATTAATCTCGGATTTTATAGAATATATATCCATGAAAATTATAGAGATGAACAAACAATTCATTGTTGGCAGGCGTAAGTGGTCATATCTTTATATCAAGCAAAATTGCAGTTACGACCATCTGAATTAACACGGCAGTATTGGGGATATTTGAGGAGTGACTAAAGCTAAACGCGATAAATCCATTTTTTGAATATTTTGAGTTAGCAGTCAATATCACTTATTAGGGACCAAATACATCCCATGCAAACCTCGGGTTGAGCAAAGCGCATTTAATCATACCAGAAACACGGCACAACAATTCATGGGCCAAGCATTTGGCAATAATTCCACAACCCAACTGAGCATATTGCGATATTTCCAAAGGCAACTGTTCAAAATGAGATAATTCCATTTTCTTCAAATAATTCCGGGTTCTCTGCTTTAGTATGCTTTGAACTGTTTACAGTATAGGTTGTTTTTTTGTGTGATCACTGGAAATTAAGTCTAAAATATGAAGGTAGCTGTGAAAGATGCAAATATCGGAAGCAGAAAAAAGTCCCGAAAATCTCAAACAAGCAACTGAAAAGGGAAAAAAGGTAAATAGCTTTTTATATTTTAAGGTTATGTTTTTTTAATTTGTAAATAACAGATAGTTAGAAAGTAACTATCTGGTTTTTACAGCTATTAGTAACTGTTATTATTGTTTTAGATTCAATGACAGAGATTCTCTTTTAAAAAAATTTAAAAGGCCATGCAATCACGATGGTAACAGTTTTAGATGTAACAGAATTAAGCGAAGTGATATTAAATTTATCAAGAATCAGCTCTATGCTACTTCAAATAAATTAGAGCAGAACACAATATTGAGTTATATGATTACTATTGGTCCTATCGAGAGAAAAAGGTCTGTTAAACCAAATCCACGAGCAAGAAACTTTAGTACTATGTTTCACATGAAACCCGAACATTCAAAAAGGCGCAATCGAGTGTGTTTAAAGTTTTTTAGGGCAGCCTTGGGCATCACGAAGGATAGAGTCAATCGTTTGTGTAAGAAAATTGAGGCATGTGTTTCCCTGAAAGATAGGAGAGGTGGCGATAAAGTATCGTATAAGTCCCACGATAAGAAACAGAAAATTATTGAGTTTATAGGTAACTTAAAAGGCCGAGAAAGTCATTACAATAGGTTAAAATCTAAAAGAATATATTTGGCCCCTGAACTGAGTATCGCCAAGTTGCATAAAATGTACAACTCTCAATGTAATAATCCTACTGACCATTGCAGTCTTACAATGTTTAAAGTTATTTTTCGAACAAAATTCAATATTGGATTTTCTTCACCAGCATCGGATTTCTGTGCTTTTTGTACCAGAATGAGACACAAAATTAAAATTGAGAAAGATGCTAACAAAAAGAACGATTTAATGATACAACTGCGTATCCATCAAAAAAGAGCCAACGCTTTTTATAAACTGACCAAACAGACGCCCTTAGAATCACTGTCCTTCTGTTTCGACATGCAGCAAGTGCAGCCTCTACCAAAAACTCCAATAAATGATGCATTTTATGCACAGCAAATTAGTTTTTATATATTTTTCTGTGTTGATATGAAAGCAAAATAACCAACTTTTTTTTACGTGGACGGAGGAAATGGTAGGAAGAGGTTCAGTGGAAGTGGCTTCAGCTCTTTTAGAATACCTAAATTCTTTAAATTTGGCTGGTATAAAATTGCTTCGGTTTTTCTGTGATGGATGCGGTGGACAAAACAAAAATTCGCATCTAATTCATGCATTATATTTTTGGCTTAAGAAAAAATCACCCGCTCATTTAACAGAGATTTTGTTAACTTTTCCAGTAAGGAGATATAGCTTTTTGCCAGCAGATAGAGTTTTTGGTAGAGTTGAAAAGGAGTTAAGAAGAATAACAAGTATAAAGTTAAAAGAAGATTACGAAGAAATTTATACCAAATTTGGAGAGGTAAAAAGTCTTGGAACTGACTGGCTGCTTTGTGGCATAAAAGAGCTTCAAGCTAGTTTGAAAAAGGTTGAAGGCATATCTGATATGAAACGTATTAAGTTGCGAAAAAGTAATACATCGGTAACTGTCACGTGTTACGAAAATTTTATATTTGAAAGCAACTGAAACTGAAAAATCGTTATTGAAGAAAGGAAAGAAAGACGGACAACTAAAACTAGAACTATTACCATTAGGGAGAGACATTAAAGACAGAAAGAAAAAATCTCTGAAGAATCTATTAAAGCAAGAATTTGGTGATGAATGGAAAGAAGAGGAAGATTTGATTTGGTACCGGAATATTTTGAGCACCCCAGGTGCTGAAAACGAGGAGAATGAAGAATCGGATCATAATAAAGAAGAAACTTGTGATTGTCTAGAAGAAGATATAGGTGTTCGGATTTAGCTTTGATTACTTTGTATTTTCAGGACTATAATATGTATGTTGTTTTTTAATAAAAATATGTGTTTCTCATAGCTTCTTTATTTGTTTGTACTTTTTTGTCCAAAACTCAATAAATCCATTTGCCATTTACCCAGAGCACGATAAATCCATTTTCACTGGACAAAAGACGATAAATCCTTAGCGTGACTGATCAAATTACGATTAATCCATTACTAAATGTGGTCTAATCCCTTTTGTAATAACTGTAGTATCAAAATTACTTTTTACATTCATGTGTACAAGCAATTTCAACATAAATTTTTAGCTCAACTAAAAAAAGCTTATATTTCCCAGGTTTTTTGCATTTTTTGTAAAATAAGACATTTGTGATTTATCCCGTTTAGCTTAGTCGCTCCTCATTTGCTCTCCCTTAGTGGATTACCAATCCTGAACTTCAAATAGAAATCTAAAGCCATATTTAATAGATATGGTGAAATACAATTAAACAATTGCTTTAACTTAAAAATGGGTATGTTGGTAATGCTTAATTTTAAATAAATAAAATTTATTCTCAGAAGTTTTATCTAATAAACTAAAGGCGATTATGGCTATTATGTATTTCTACAAACTTTTTTATTCAATTTCATTTATACAAATATACCTTCGTCCATGTATATTTATTCATATATTCAGTTTTGTAAAAAGTTACCACAGCGATAACATACGGTATCGGATTTAAAAAATCGCTAATCTTGAAGGTCCTGATCAGATTATTGGGACAAATTATTTAAATTATTGCATTGTCATCGATCCTTGATAAGTGTGTAAATTTTCAAATCAATCCAACGTTTTCAAGGGGGTGAAAATCAGGTTCAAAGATTCCGTTACATGGATACATAAATACATACCTACCTACCAACCAAGGTAATATTAAAAGGGTTAAAATTTGAAATATACCCTTATTTAATTGTACATAGTTTTTGTAAGCAATAAACGTGTTAGTTTTTCCATAATGGTCGTAGGTGGGAACCGTAATGCATGTTTATATTTTTAAAGTGTTCCAATAGTTCCGAATGAGTCAGAAGTACAATGCAAAATGTATGATAGGACTAATTACTTGATTTTAAAGAAGTTAATTTATTCGGTCAAGGTCAGATTGTGTATCTAAAGGGTTCCATGCACTGGTAAATTTTCTTTAAAACTATTAGGTATCTTTAGATCTTATTGTAAAATTAGAAGGATTGAAGTTGTTGATTAGCAGGATATATTGAATTTTCATTTGTTTTCATGAAAACAATTGGTGTTTTCATGAAAAACATTGGGCACACCCATCTATATATCTTATGGACTAGTTGGAATGTAGTTGTAAATTAGTAAGAAATGCTATGGAATTTTAAATTATTTTAACTAGCTTTGACAACGCCGTACACTGGAGTATTAACATGATAAAAAAAAACATGATCGAAAATCAAAAAATCAAGTTTGCGCTACATGTCAAAAATACTTATAAATGACAAGTCAAAACTATAGTTATGTACACTCGTGTTGTCAAGAATTTTCTTTTCTGAATTATTTAGTTGTTATGTTACCTCAAAGATACGACTTAGTGCAAATCTGAAATCAGTTGTGAATTTCTGTGTGTAAAAACAATATTTGTTTTTTGATAGAGTGTCTCTTTTAAATACAAGTTTGTTCCTGATTTAAGATAAATGAGCAACCTGCAGGTATGTACTTTAATATAATATATTATTTTTTAGAAGGGATCTTGAAAAGTAATACATGTTTTTAATTTTAATCTTTGACATTTTAAAAATCAGTTTTTGACTATTACAAAGTTTTCTTCGTCAGAGTTATACTCTTTTTATTTGTTCCTGTAAGTATTTCACCTAACTGCCTTAGCAACTTTGTTTTGCACTATTTTTATCCCGATCTTAAGAAAAATAAGCGAGTTTTAGCATTTTTAATTTTTAAATTCACTTTTAATATAATTTAGTCCATTGCTGATAAGCACGAAAAAAGGAATGATATGCAGGTTTGGTATACGATAGGAGCAGTGAATGTGGGGCATTTTGTTTACTCTAGAAAAAATACGTGCTGATGAGTAGGTTTCAAGGAAACTACAATGTAATTATATCAAGGACAAGCGAAGGAAAATTTGTTTATTATGACGGGATCTATCACAAATCCAGTTTTTTAAGGTTTTGACAACTTTATCTATATATATGGCGTGTCATACTTGGAACTTTCACTATTTAAATTGCATTAGTTAGGGTAAAGGAGTGGAGGGGAATGGCGTATGATAGGTGATATGATAAAAGTGTGTCCTTCTTTAAACTAAAATCGATCTGTCTGAGCGATTTTTAATATCCACGTTATTAATTCTCAAAACCCCCATATCAAGTTTTCGTTAGGCCACCTTGTATTAATATTAAAGAAAATTAACTTATAAATAATAATCTTTTAACAAGATATAAATTAAATGGACCGATCCTATATTATTATAAAGCAATACTGAATAAATAGTTTAAATTGGAAAACTCGTTAGTGAAATTTGAAACGAATAAATTGGTAATGAAACTGGTATTTTTGTATTTGACTGTATGTTACTTTTTCACTTTCTGAAAAAAGATTTCCCGTAAAACAAGAAATAGTACACAGTTTACAATAAATTTTTTTACCCAATTTGAAACTTGTAATATGTACCAATAACCCAGTCCGGTTCTGTTTATTTTTTTAATAAACAAATATGGCCGTCGATAGAATCTCTAAAAAATAAATAACTTACCGAAATAAATCTAAGTTTCTTTTATCAGAGTTAAACCATCCAAGGTTTCATCATAACATAGGCTCTTTATTCCTGTTTAGCCAATTTAACTAGTACAATCATGTAGAAATCTGTTAAAATGGCGATGTACCTTATATGGAGTGGTATGGCACCTGCAATTTGGAACCCATAAGTAAAGAATTGTTACCTGTTTCTATTGCAATAGAAATACGTCATGGGTAACAGTGAATACACCACAAGAAATATTTAAGCTGGTGCAATGTTAACTCTATAGGGGCAGAAAACAATATATTTTTGTAGAGATTTTGTAAAAGATTTAAAATACGATTCCCTAATATATCCGATGCAATTCTCTTGTGTTGACTGATTTGTTTTTCATTTAGCATAAAGTAAAAAAAATGTTTTTTGTAAGGGTCCTGTTTTATTTTTTTCCATATTAGGAACATATTCCGTATTAGGCACAAAAATATAATTTTCTATAGAATGTTTTTTTGACTTCTGTATAATTGATTAAATATTATAAGTAATAAATTATGGTTTTCAAAGGTATAAAGGACCTACACAAAAAACAAGGGGTGTTAAGAATACATTTTGAATATAATATGTACAGAATGGTATTACATATTTTGCTTACTTCCTCTAAAATTGATTGAATTTTTGTTTCGAACTTGTCATACTGTATATCATTTATAAGTGGTCACTATCAATATAATGTCAATTAAATTGTCTAAGTGTACAATCTTGAGAGATAACTACAATGACAATTATCAGCAAGAATTTTAAACTTTTTATAAATAATACGAGAACACATAATATATAAATATATTTATTTATTAGTGGAATTTGTTACAATAAATGATATAAAATGATTAAAATAACAATTCTCATAGTTTACATTATTCATAAGGTAAGTTATTTATGCATATTTTGCAACTATATGGAGAGTCATGTAAATTAATTTTAAAATAAAAATTAAATTTTTTGTAATACTCAGATTTTCCAAAGTATCTACTGAAACTACAGTGTCATTCATAAAATTGGCCATATAACGTGATTTTTTTGTAGTAAGTTTCTGAAACCTAATTAATCTTAAAACTCAGCATACCTATGGAACTGTTACTACACTTCTTTTGGTGTAAGTATTTTGAAAAACGGGCAATACTTACAATAAATTGGTGTCAAATTAAAATTTTTGAGTCTACCGTATATAAAAATTTTTTTTTAATATTTTTATAATTGCATTTTACAAATTTTTATTAAAGATTCTCTAAATTTAACAGATAAAATTTAAAAGGACAAGGTATTTGACAAGATTATTTTTTTTATTTAATGTAGTTGATATAGTCGCGAAGTGGTGCTTCTATTATAATGGCCGGTTTTAGCCAATTCTCGCCGAACACAAATATTCTAATAAATGAGAGCGTCGAGAAATCGTAGAGAATATGCTTGATGGTCTCATCTTCTTGTTTGCACCTATTCCAGAGTGCAGATATTCACAGCCCTATGATATGGAGATGCTTCCGCAGTTGGCAATGTCCAGTCAGTATGTTTGTGTTCAGGTGCACATTCTGTCTAGTCAAGTATTTGTTTGCTGTAGTGTTATTAGGATAACTTAAAAGCTCCCTCACAAGTCTGCAGCTTCTTATTTCATCCCATCTTTCCTTGAATTTTACAAGGGAATGTTTCTTGATTAGACCTATCACTACCGATGTTGTCACTCCAATAGGCCAGATCCAAAAAGTATTTGGTTGGCTGCTTTCTTGGTAAATTAATACCTTTCGATGTGGCGTAACCTTTGATCCATCTTAAGTTGACCACATTGTTGATGCTTAGTGACATTCTAGTACTACCCCTTAATAAATTTGTGGTCTATCCAGAGTGATTAGTGCTTGTCTGCTATTTATATAGATGAGCATGTTTCTTCCAGTGATACTATTTCTGGTGATTTCTTTTGCTGCTATGAGAATCTCCATGAGCTCGATTTGAACTATACTGGCACTACTGCTTACAGTCCATTTTATGTTTAGGTTTAAGGACATCCTGAGCCTTGTTTTATTTTAGAACCGTCCGTGTAGATATGATTCGTACCTGCGACTTCCAGCTCTTCTATTTATTCTGTTGTAACTTTATAAGGCTTATGGAAGATATATCTTGGTAGAATGGAGTCCATGTTCGCTTGAAATAGTGAGAGCATATTGAGTGCCTCCTGCCAAACCTCACCAGATCCTAGATGCTATTTCTGTTCGGAGGCATGTCATTGTAATCAGAGAAACCTTGATGTAAATATCAAGAGGAGTGAGACTACAAGAATGACTTCGATGGCGCTGGTCGGTGTGGTTTTTATGGCTCACGTTATGTTGATACAGGCTGTTCTTTGAATTTTATCCATCGGTACCTTATATTGGGGGAGTAAATTTTGAGAGTTTATAGACTCTCTCATTCTACTTATGTCTACCACCAACCAGGAAAAACCTATCGACCACCCGGGGACAAGCTCAGTAGGCACTCAACCACTGAGTCCTTTATAATAATAAATACGATAACAATATATTCTCTAACAGACGAAATAGTCACACATGCGCAAAACCGCAGAGAAATAAGGTAGGTTGGTTACTTTCCTTTCGTGAGTTTGACATTTGCCAAATTATAAAGTTTTTATTATGATTTCCCTGTCTTAAACTATAAATTTTTTTCATTAACTATTTTAGAAGTGTTTGAGTATTCAAAAAATTGTAACATCAATTTTGCTACAACTTATTTGAAGCGAAAATCATGAATTTTTATAACAATTTTTCTCAATCCCAGGTTTATTGCGAAGACCCTATAATAAATTTACCAAATGGAAAAATACGTGGTCAAATGGTAAAATCCCGTGTTGATGACAGCTTTACATTTTATTCCTATCAAGGAATTCCGTTTGCTGCACCTCCAATAGGAAAATATAGGTTTCTTGTAAGAATTAAACATACTTTATAGTTGTGTTTATTTTTGTATAAAATTTATCTTTTAGCCTCCTCAACCTGTTCAAAATTGGGATGGCATTAAGGATGTGTTTGATAATGAAGTGTCATGCTGGGCTAGCGATAAAGTGGAAGCAAAAGCTACTGAAGATTGTCTCTATTTGAGTGTTTATACACCTGTTGTAAGTATTTATACAGGATGAAAGCCAAACTTATGAATGTCTTAAAATATTTTTGATATTTTAGGCTCCAACTAATAATACAAAATTAAATGTGTTGGTATTCATGTATGGAGGAGGATTTCACCACGGTCATATGTCATACGGCCATAAAAAATCTTCATTTATAGTACAAAATGACATAATATTAGTCACCTTTAACTACAGAGGTGGACCATTTGGTAATCCAGCGCGTTTAGCTGTATTTTTAATGTTTAACAATTTTTATTTTTATTTTTAGGTTTTTTATCTACAGGTGACTCTGTTATTCCTGGCAATATGGGTTTAAAAGATCAACAAGCTACTCTTAAATGGGTTAATCAAAATATACATTTATTTGGTGGCGATCCTGATAAAGTTACTTTAATGGGTCAAAGTGCTGGATCTGCATCAATGACTTACCACTTGTTGGCTCCTGGATCATCTGGTTAGTGCCTTGCTTAATTTTTCAGAACATCCACGATGTAGTAGATGTAAAACAAACCTCAGGAATGGAGGAACAATTTATCAGGACAGAGACAAACAATAGAATTCATAAAAGGACCGTAGCCGAGACCTTGCATTTGATTCTGCCAGGGAGAAGTACAAGTATTGTTCTGCTATGAATGTCTATGAAGACAGATATGTCTTATACTTGTAGAAGAAAAACCAATTGCAATTAGCTACATAGGAGAGCTACTTACTAGGTTTCCTAATATAAAAGACCAAACTAGATAAAGTACTCTAACCAATAGCCAAAGGATATCTGCCAAAGATATAAAAAGTCAAGGCTACATGGCCAAGCAAATCTAATCGAGTTTTGCTGCTTCCTCTCTTAAATTTGGTTTAGTTTTTGACTGAGCTCATACTATAGAACCTGATGGATAGTTAAATAATTGAAGAAAAGGAAGAAGAAAAACAAAATAGAAACATTAAGCAGAATAATTTATCAAAATATTAGAGAAAACATTAACAAATCAAATATCCTTTAACTTGCAAACTATTTTATTTAATACTTCATTATATCTGTTTTTAGGTTTATTTAGGGCTGCTGTAGGTTGCAGTGGATCAGCTTTTTGTACATGGGCTTATCAAAGAAATGCTGTTGACGCAGCATATGGAGTAGCAGCAGAAATTGATCCAAGTTTTACTAGAAATCGATCTTCCGAGGAGCTTCTAGAGTTTCTACAAAGTGTCGATGCTGTTGAAATAGTTAATACGAATATTACTTATAACGTAAGTTTATATAAAATTTAGAAAAAGTAGAATATTATAATGGAATACTTCTATTTTAGCTGTTTGCTCCAGTAATAGAGGTCCCTCATGATGGAGCTTTTATTTCTGAAAATATGTATGATAATGCCCTCAATGGAAATTTTAACAAAGTTCCAGTATTAATGGGAATTAATTCAGAAGAAGGAATTGGCTTGGGAAGAGGTATTGTTATTTTTGTAATATTTCGTTATAAATTCAATAACAATGTAAATGGAGAACATGTTTACATATTCTAGCTTTTAAAATTAATATATTTTTTTTAAATTTTGACGAATAAAGTGACATTTTCTGTAGTGCAGCAAGGTCAAAAAAATCTACTCTACGCATATGTTGAACGTTATTAAACTGGTTTCGAAAAATTCACTATGTCATCAGTTGCGAAAAGAAAAGGAATGAAAATAAATCTACATTATTATTGAAAATTATATATCAAAGGAAAACAGGTTGTCGAAAAATCGAAAAATTGAAAAATCGAAAAATCGAAAAATCGAAAAATCGAAAAATCGAAAAATCGAAAAATCGAAGAATCGAAAAATCGAAAAATCGAAAAATCGAAAAATCGAAAAATCGAAAAATCGAAAAATCGAAAAATCGAAAAATCGAAAAATCGAAAAATCGAAAAATCGAAAAATCGAAAAATCGAAAAATCGAAAAATCGAAAAATCGAAAAATCGAAAAATCGAAAAATCGAAAAATCGAAAAATCGAAAAATCGAAAAATCGAAAAATCGAAAAATCGAAAAATCGAAAAATCGAAAAATCGAAAAATCGAAAAATCGAAAAATCGAAATATCGAAATATCGAAAAATCGAAAAATCGAAAAATCGAAAAATCGAAAAAATCGAAAAACCGAAAAATCGAAAAATCGAAAAATCGAAAAATCGAAAAATCGAAAAATCGAAAAATCGAAAAATCGAAGAATCAAAAAATCAAAAAATCAAAAAATCAAAAAATCAAAAAATCAAAAAATCAAAAAATCAAAAAATCAAAAAATCAAAAAATCAAAAAATCAAAAAATCAAAAAATCAAAAAATCAAAAAATCAAAAAATCAAAAAATCAAAAAATCAAAAAATCAAAAAATCAAAAAATCAAAAAATCAAAAAATCAAAAAATCAAAAAATCAAAAAATCAAAAAATCAAAAAATCAAAAAATCAAAAAATCAAAAAATCAAAAAATCAAAAAATCAAAAAATCAAAAAATCAAAAAATCAAAAAATCAAAAAATCAAAAAATCAAATAATCAAAAAATCAAAAAATCAAAAAATCAAAAAATCAAAAAATCAAAAAATCGAAAAGGTAACATTTTGCATTTGACATTACGTTTAACAAAAACGCTATAAGTTGCGTTTTATTTTTTAAATGATTGAACACCGTTATTGAGAACTACCTAGAAATACTGAGGGTACAATTTTTCGCGATTAAAGTCAAAAATCAGATTGGCAACACTGCACAAGTCCCTTATTTTTATTAATAATATTATTAAAAATTCGTAGGGCAACCAAATACAACAATTTTCTGCAATATTTGATCGAAGATACCTACAAAAGAATGATGGTGAATTATGTTTTACCCAAACACAATTTTATAATCAAGTCAAAATTAGAAAAAATCTTGTTTGTAACACATTACGAAATGCCGTTTTGTGTAACTCGTTCATTTTGCGGGACCTCGCTCCTCTCGTCCCACGAATATTGACTTGTTACACAAATTAAAGCATTTCGTAACTGATTACATAAATAGCTAGTATTTAACACGTTACAAACTACCGTTTTACGTAACTCGTTCATGTTGCGGACCTCGCTTTGCTCGTACCGCAAATATTTCCTCGTTACATAAAATAAGGCTTACGTAACTGGTTTCATAAATAGCTATTATCTGAATCGGTAATATTTTTAATTTTACTAAATTTTACTAAAAATGTAAATGAAATTTTATTTTATTAACAATATTTAGATATGCCTTCATTTCTGCAACGTCTTAGATCTTATGACAAAAATCCACGGTTAGGTGTAAATGACGATATGTATATTACTGACGACGATGTCAAACTCCAAGTAGGGAAAGAAATTAATAGAATTTATGTAGGAGATGGATTACTTGAAGACAATCCTGGTAAAGGTATTCAGGTGAGAAATTTTGTTTTAATACCTTCAATAATTTTAATAATGATTTAAATTATAGATGTACAGCGATGATAGATATGCCAGGGCTATTATTAAATTTGCAGAACTAATTGCTCGACATGTGGATGTATTCTTTTATCAATTCTCTTATCATGGAGAATTAGGAAAAGTTACAAATAATGTTACAATACCTGGTAATATATTTTCTATTATTTAAGAAACGTGCTTGATGAATTTGAAAAAAAAATATAAGTATTAATCACTGGCCGAAGGTTATTTGGTCAGAATTTTTTTTGCCTATTTTAACTGATTTATTTAATAAAAAGTAACTTACTAGTTACAGTCCATTCTTTGTGTCGGTATCATCTTTATTATCTTATTTACTACCCAATCCTGTAGTATTAAAAGTTAGGTCTTAAATACTTCCATTTGCATCTAATATAACGATGGCTTAATTCTAATACCTCATAACACACAAAGAGTAAATTTTTCGATTATCTGGATTGTTCAAACAACGTCTCCTTGAACTACTCATGACGCAAAAACACAGTAAAATACGCCTGTTATCGATTAATATATACGCTTAAATGATAAAAATCAAAAACAAAGTAACTGGAGCTGCTCAAAAAATTTTGAGGTTAGATTTAACAAAAACAAGTCATAAGTGAACTTTATCAATCAATTCGCGGCAACAGACAAAAAGTTAAATTTTGTAAACTAGTGTAATGAAATGAGAAAAAGGGTAAAAAGGTATGAATTACTGTCACTACTATAAACCTTTTTAATAAATAATTCTTAAAATAGTTATTAGACGAAACGTCTAATTTTGAATTTTATCATTTAGCGGAATAAGAAATAGACGTAATAGTTCATACATAATGGTTTGTTTGGTGCAAACTTGACTTAAGTGATAACACCCCTAGGGAACATATCAGTGTAACTCAGAGCTAATTGGATATGTTGATACACGTGACTGAAAAATGAGCGATTTTAATTGGTTTTCTATTGTTGCCAGAAATTTTCAGTAATCTCTAATATGGTTAACCGTGCCAACTCCAAAACCACTAGACTGTAGGATCGAATATCAAATTATTTTTAGTTGAATTAAAAATAATGCCCTCAACAGTTCTTGCATCAAAATAATTTTAACAATTTTAAAATGAATTATTTTTTAGTTTTCTGTGTACAAATAAAAAAAAACTATTTATTTGCTTTATTTACATTTAACATTTCCGTTTTTAATCGATGTTTGTTAATATATGCTTTTTCAGGTATAGGTAAGGTAAAACATGCTGAAGATCAGCGATATTTTTGGTCCGAACATGATGATTATAGCGCATATCCTAAAAGTGATATCATAACAGTGGCAAGATACAACAAGTTAATATCTAATTTTGTCAAAACTTTGTAAGCATTTCAATAATTTTAATTTATATTTATTAATTTTTCCTTTTTCTGTTTTCTTTATTGTGTGGGAATTGTTTCCAAAAATTATTAAGTAATTAAAAAAAAAACAATAAGGAGTGAGTTATGGCAAGGCATGCGAGTCCAAGTTATAATTAAATTAAAGTTTCCTTAGAAAAAACCTACAAGTTAAGAATGTGATAAAAATATAAACAAATTATTTGTATAAACGTTAACCTTGAAAAAACTGTATCTAATTGTTTTTTTTTTAATATTAACACTTAGCATTTACCTGTTGGTAAGCTATTTCAGATGTAATATTATTATAATAATTTTTTTATTCGTTTAAAATTATTATGAAATGTTTTTAAATTTTTTTAGAAATCCCACTCCCTTTGAAGATGATCTATTTCAGAAGCTGACATGGCCAAAAGTTAAAAAGAACAATTACTTATATTTGGATATTGATAACGATTTAACAATACAAGAAAATCCAAGAAACTTCTCGTACAGTTACTGGGTAGACATATTTGAGAAGTATGTCCCGAAACCATTTATATCGTATTAGCAATGTTATAAGTGTATAAAAATATATTATTAATAATAAAAACATATTTTAAAAATAATATCAAAATTACTTTTTTATTCACAAATAATAAAATATATACTATTATAAATTGATCATAAACATGTAGATTCTGAAACTCATTTGGATACACGGCTTAAAGCTCTGGTGATGTGCTAGATTAACGAACATAAAACCCATTAAAAAATTCCAAAACAAAGTACTTCGGAATATCTCCATACACAAAAATGCACACATTATACGGCTTTCATTTCATTCCCAATTTTTAGATAGTTTAGCTTAAGATAAAATTGCTTATTGTTTGCTCTGTACCAGGTGTAATATTCCTAAGATTGTGCGTAGTGAGTTCCAGACCTATAACTGGGGAGACAGAATACATTTGACAAACCTATTTATTTTTTTTGTTGGTTTGAAATTCAGGAAAATGCAATTTTATATTTAGTTTTGTATTTTTATGCTTCACATGTTATTAATAAACTAAATGCACCTAAACTCTCCTTTTCAAGAAAGAACTAGTATAAATTCAAACAAAATTTTGGATTAAACATTAAATTAAAAGAGCTTGAAGATATTGATGACTCAGTACAGTATATTACCAGTTCAATGCAAGAAAAAGCATGGAATAGTACTCTGATTCAAACTCTAAACAGACAAGCAAGTAAAAGTATACCGCTGCATATACACGAGCTTATGACCGAAAAATGACGAGCAACCAGCATATGACAAAGAAACTGCATTCTCTACTGTCTCTAACAAAATCAACAGAATCACATTTAAATTTAAAGTAGCATTACAAGATATTTATAATTCAACCTTTGAAGACTTTATCCATAGTTAGTAGAAAGAGGGCTATTCAGTCTGGAAGGCAACCAAAAAGTTTTAAAGGTCGCAAAACGAAATTAAGACAAAAACACTTTGCAGAAACCTTCAGTCCTATACAACCTAACTTTAATAACAACGATGATTATGTTTTAAAACTTTATTGGTTTTCCTTTTTCAATGACACTTACTATGAAAATATTTTCTTCTTGAAAAGTCTTGAAGAAAAGAAATTCTGTACTACAGTTTTTTGGGATACATAAAAAGCCTTTGATAAAGTTTGGCATCAGGGTTTTCTCTCTTAATTAAAACTTTCACTCTCTCTTTATTACTACCTTATCTTAAAATCTTACGAATCTAAAAGATATTTCCAAACTAAATATAACCTCGAACTATCCCAAACATCCATTAGATCTGACGTACCACAGAGTAAGTAATGTATTGGGCTCCTTCCTTTACCTCACCATTAAAGCTGACATATCAACTACAAATAATACAGAATTGCCCGAAATAAACAGTACTGAAACTAAGTTGGCGGTGTATCTCTGCGCCCGCTCTTATATCCAAGTTAGCTAGTATAGGCCCGTCAAGTAAATCTTAAACAACTAATTAGTAGGACCTAATTGTTAAGAATGATATTAGGTAGAAGGTAGAAAGTGTTTCTGGTAGAGTCTTATTTTCACACATACAGAATCAGCCAACGACGTAATGGTGCAAGTCTGCGATACGTGTATGATCAATTCTTCCTAAACTTGGAACAGCGTTATGAAATCTGTCTTAAACGAGAAGGTGCACATTTGGAAGATGTACTAAAATGTCAATAATATGCATTTCTTAAATAAATAAAAAAATTACAGTTCAGTACTGTTTATTTCGGGCAATACTGTACTACCATCTCTACATTCGCAGACGATATTGATCTTCTCTCTATAGCTGAATATCAACGAACCGTAGTATTGATAGTTTACAAAATTGGCGCATACCTTGCACATAGAAGTTAAAACAAACAAATCTACTCAAATACCATTTAAAGCCAAAAATGAGGCGTGTCTAACTGTCATAATTAATAATATTTTACATACCGTAAAGAACGTAGTAAAATCCTTGGAAATGATCCTAGATTCCTGGAAAACTCATGTATTAGTCAAAAGTAATCAGAAAGTTGCTCTGGCTACTGAACAGAAAATCCAAATTAAAAACAGAAAATAGGCTCTTTTTATACAAATGTATAATAAAACCCATTTGGATAGGGATGTTATAAACCATCAAACACCAAAATCATTTAAAAAATACAATCTAAAACTCTTCGGAAAGTCATCGATACTCAATGTATGTCTCTAATAAAACCATACAGACATGATGACTTATCAATACCTACCGATGATGAAAAACATCACAAAGAAATATCTAAAAACAAGTAACTGAAAATAATTAGAAAATTCGGAAACAAATCTCAAAAATCCTCCTAATCCTTACCAAGACCATACCCGATTTAAAGAGTTAAAAACAAATACCTGGGGATATGAACAAAACAAATAGCACATCAAAAAATGTCTGTCTAGGAATCCCGACAGTAAATGTCTTGATCGTTTTGAAGGAAGGTCACTTGTTTAGCATACAAGAAAGTTCAGTTTCGATTCCCGACTGCGATAGAAATTTTTTCATTCTTCAAGTAATTGTTTTCTACTTTGGGGTTTAGGAATGGTCTTGATAATTTGTACGAGGATTTTTAAGATTTGTTTTAGAGTTTTCAAATTATTTTTAGATAGCAATAAGTACTTCCAAAGGCTACCAGATCCTGAAACAGAAGAAGTTAGTCACCTATGAAATGAGCTTTCAACACCCAGACGATTAAAGAGAAAACGACTGACATATCTGACACAAAACTAACTCATTAATAAAGTGTTTACGGACTAGGCAAAAAAATGTATTTACAATTCATTCTTAGTTTTTTTATTTTTATTAATGTAATAATGAATAATAAATAATTTTATTTAATCCTAAATTTAGGAGACAATAAGCTGACAGTTCCCACTTTATTGAGACTGAGATTCCATGAGAAAACTTGTAGCATTTAAAAATATTTAAAAGCCTGTAAACGTAACAACATTTTGTTCTTTTATCCCTTAAGCCTCCTAAATTTGAGTACTTCACCCCTTAAGCCGATTTATTTAAAAATATTTGTATCCTTTGTCCCTCTAGTTCACCCATACACAAGTATTTAGCCATTTAGCCATTAAGCCCGCGTATATAAATACATTTCGTATATTTAACCCTAAAGCCTGTCCATGTAAATATAATATTTGGGCCTTTGATCTCTTTAGTCCTAATATCAAATTATTACATGAATTCTCTTCTAAAATTCGGTATACATCGTGCACTATTTATACTTATTACTTTCACTTATAATAATAAATTACCCAAATAAAATCTTTTAAAAGACGTTCAGAAAATTTAAAATAATTTATTTGGCATTTAAAAATGTCAGCAATTAAGAAAAACTACAATAAAATCAATACCGTGGTTTTAGTTTAAAAAATAAGCTGCAAAATGCATAGCACTTAAAAAATATTATTATTTACCTTAAGTTGAACCAAAAATTGTGAAAATCAGAAGGATTCCAGTTAAAAGAATTTACCGAAGAAAATCAATCGCAGCTTTCGTTCTAGAATCGGCGCACATAGGCATAGACGAAACATTTTTCTCTTCGGCTTTTTGAAATTAATATTATTGGAAACGTGGAAAAAAGTGTTAGAAAGTGGGCGAAGTTTGCGACACGAACAGCAGGCGAATGTAATAAAGACAATCTTAATTTATTCTTTTTTTCTTTTTTTCATATTAAACTTGTATAATAATTAATTAGGACCAGTGGGCGGCTGGTGAGGGAGGGCGCTGGGGCGCCGCCCTGTCTGCGAAGTAGCAGGAATTATCTACAATTTAGTATGTCCATATACTTAATCAGTAATTTTATTTAACTCCTCCTAAATTTATTAACAATAAAAAAGACAATCACACATAAATGCAATAAAGTTTGTGAGCAAACAATTTAATTACCTATGTAGTACGGACGAGATAGACCTGTGCAATACGGAATAATATGGTTTTTCGCTATCATATAATAAAAGCGCGCTATAATTATTGTATGGCGTAGCCAGGGCCCATAGCGAATCGCTGGACGGTTGCCATGGGTAGTGGGCAGTGGTGCCAGAATATATTTTTATTATGTACCAGATTTGTCTAAAAAATGTACCAGATGATTCCCTAAAAATGTACTAGGTTCTATAAAATGTACCAGATTTTTCAAATTCATTGAAGAGCAACAAACAAATGGGTATGTAGAAAACACAAACACAAACAAGGAAGATTCCAACAATATATTTTACACTTAAAATGGAAACATACGCTGAAAAAAGTACTAGATTTTACTTCGAGTGTTTTAGAATACCATATTCTTAGAAAATGTACTAGATCTAGTACAATTGTACTAGACTGGCAACACTGGTAGTGGGAACTGTGGAAAGAAATTATGCATTTTGGATACGTGGGTTGGCGCCGTTGGCGGGCGCAGCTCTGTCAGCCCTCAGCCCATCTGTCGATCGCTTTGTGGTTTGTGTTGCTATGTTAATCTAGTGTGGTGTTGTTAATTTAGTTATCTTCGTAATAATTATTTATCAGTCTTAGAATTAAAAAGCATAGTAATCAGCCGCTTAAGTTTAAATGATTTTTGTATTGATTTTTTGTTGCCCTTATACTCAGCCCTCCCTATTACAGAAGTCACGAGCCGCAACTGGTTCGAATGTCCATGTAGGAAAATAATTCAGTTCCTCCCACGCACATGTCGTTCAGAAATCTACAGACGATAAAAAATTTCGTAAAATAATCTATTTCTGCTCCTATACGACGATGTTCTTGAAAAAATACGATGTTTGCCGATTCATATTGAGAGATTCTTTGAAATACTTCTCTCAGCCGGCATCAGTAGTGGCACTGCGACTTTATTTAGCTTTAATTTATACTAAGAGAGATAAATTAAATTTTATTGAAAAAGACAAAATTTCATTCCCGTTTTGGTTAATTTATTAAAAAAAGTGGAGTTATGTTTATGGTAAGTGTTGTGTGCTGTTTACTGGGATGTCTTGTAAAGTTTGTTTAAGAGTAGGTTTTGAAAATGAATCAGCAGCAAAAATTTGAAAACCTACTTT